CGGATATTCAATATCCGGATATCCAGAATCCCATATCCGGATACTCAAAATCCATATCCGGATATCACATATCCGGATATTCATCGGGCACATATCCGGATATTTCACGACAGAATGCAGAAAATGCATTTCGTGAAGATATCCTTCCAAGGTTGGGTTTTTAACGATTTAAAGCACCTAAACATGCATTTCTAGGTGTGTTCAACATTACCCAACAACAAGTTATCATCTTTAAGCCTTAACATGCATCAAGCTTTCATTTTTGAACTTAAAGACTCAAGATCAAAGGTGATGAAGCTTACCAAAGCTCAAACTCAGAAAAAAGGTGCTCTTGGAGCTCACACAATAGCTCCAAGGTTCTGTCTCTCACTGTACACGAAAATAGTGCACAAAGGTGGTTCTTTTACACAACAAGGAAGATCCTTGGAGCTTCAAAACACCTAAGGAAAGCTCCCTCCTTCCCAAAACGTGAAAACAGCAAGCTCTCCCTCTCAAGACAGAAGCCAAACTCAGAAATGAAGTCTCTTTCTCACTCACAAGGATTGTTCACACTCACCCAATGTGTTTACAAGAGAAAAAGTGAAGAATCAAGGAAGAAAATGCCTTGAACCTCAAGAAAAGGAAGGAGAAAACCCAAAGGCTGTGTTTCTGGTCAGCCACCAACACAACTCACGTAGCAAAATCTGGTATCTAGGGCAATGTGCCCTTAATAAGGGTATTTATAGCCCAAACGCACTTAAACACACAGTATTAACTTTAATTGCTACGCTTAGCATTTTAATCCCAAACTTTGAAATCTGAAACTATACAATTTTCTAAGATTTATCATATTTTTCTGAGCACTTTTCCGGTACGCGCTTTTCCAAGCCAGTACCGGTTTCTAGCATAAGTTCTCATTATTTGGACTTGAAACTCGTTTTACAAGTCCTACATATCATTCTTGTAATCATCATGCACTTACCTTAATTTTCTGGGACACTTTTTCGGTACTCATTTATACCGACTAGCAGAACCGGTATCTTCACTTTTCTTCCGAAAAGCGACTTTCAGCATTATTACTCACTTACTATCATTATTAAAGCCTCATAATAATTATTAGGGTCAATTATGGAATCATTTCTTATTTTCTCATAATTTATTAATTAAATTCTTTAATTAACGGTGCGGGTTCTTACAGAAATATTCGTAGCGAAGCTCTGCCAACTTAGGTAAGTTCGTAATACTTGCTATGTATACGTTTAAATTACAGTGCTACCTTGCGAACATGTTAGGATTTATCGTATATTAGAGACTTAGAATATAAGGATAGTCACTTAGAAATTTTGTACCACGCTATGAATGTTGTAATGATTTAGTAATTTTTTTTGTTACGTAGCTATTATTATTTTTATTTAATTATGCATTGGGGTTTAACGTATTAATTAGTGATTTAGAAAATAATGATAGTGAGTTCGTAAATTTTGTATGATGTTATGAATGCAGGAGTGTATTGATAATTTTGTAGTCATCTAGGTGTTATTATTAGTACATATTTATGAAATTATTAGTGACTTTGGGTTAAGTATTATGTAAGTATGATTTAATTTGTGTCTGACGTTTTATTATTATTTAATTACAAATAAATTACTGTACTACGTATTAATATTATTTCAGTAATTACGATTGTAGTAAAAACGTAGGGTTTATGCTTAATATTTTTGACAATAAATTAGGACATTGCTTAATTGATTTGTACATAAAATGTGTTGTTACATGTGATTAATTTCAATGTTGTTTTATATTATATAGTTTAGGGTCATGGGTGATTCATCATCATCTGCGGGTTCTGCATCGGATCCAGAGCTTACCGATCCTAGCATGTACATCATACCTGGGTCGTATAGATGGGAGGTCCTTCATAAGAGGACGCAGAGTGCCCATATTTAACAGCGAGTGTGGAATACGAAACATGTGCGTAAGTTGAAGATCAGGCGTGGGAGACCAGAGGGGGGGTCACCTACCGACGCTATTCCAGAGGTGGTAACAGACTACCTCACACAGGCTGGATTTATACATGTTGCCCGCATGCGACATATCCAGGTATGCAATTTCTGATGTTTTGTATTTATGTGATTATTCAATACCATTCGTTAACACGTGATAATTGTATAATTTATTTCAGATTGATGCCCCATTAATTAGTGCTCTGGTCGAGAGGTGGAGACCAGAGACACATACTTTCCACATGACCCAGTGTGAGATGACCATCACCTTGCAGGATGTGGCCGACATATTGGGATTGCCTACTGACGGCATTGTCGTTACCGGATCTACATCCGACTCCGAGGATTGACCCGCTGTTTGTGCTGCTGCTTTTGGCTTGGAGTCACTGGCCAGTGAGTTTCATAACCAAGGTGACCTCTGCATCTCATTCTTGGATCGTTTATATACCCGGTGGACTGATCATGCCGGGGATCATGATCGAGAGATCTATTTCACAAAGGCGCACATTGCCCGCATGCTGGTGTGTTGGTTACTGGCGGACAAGTCTGGAGGTAGCAATATCGGTTGTCGGCCCCATTGTAATATAACACAACACGAACAGAATTAGGATTTGAACTCATTCATAAATAGAATAAGAAATAAAATGAAAATACTAAATTAAAGATAAAAATTATGTATGTATGATGTCAAAATTTATGGTAGAGAAGAGATATGAAGAGTGAGAGAAGATGTGTGAGGTGTGAATAAAGTGGTAGGAAAATATATAGGTGTGGCCGCACGTGTAACGCCCAAACTGGGCAGTTAGACGTCACATGTGACGCCCAATTTGAACGTTACATTGTGGAGTATATTCGTGATTATTTCAAAAACTATTACAAATGCGTAAATTTTTATTAAAAAACAATAAATAAATTTTTTTGCCCACCTTTTCTTTATAAATAAAAATAAAAATGAGAAACTAGTAAAGTTGAGAATTTTTTTTAGAAAAGGTAGAAGAGTATAATATAAAACTAAGTGTAAAAATAAGGATATAAAATCACATCATATATTTTTTTCCTTTTATTTATTCGTTTTTGTGTCGTTGTGCACGGCGTATTCTAATTAGATTGTACTATTCCCAACGACGTCATCAGCTCTTCATCTCCCTCCTTGTGCAACAGCAAGAAATCACCGTCCTTCACCATCTATTTCTCCACTCTAGCAGTTAGATGTACAATATCCTAATAATCCGATCACGACCTTTTTTCCCCCAAAGAAATGTTATACAGCTAAAAGTTAATAATCAAAACTTTGATAAATATAATAATAGATTTAATATTTCTCATGTTTATATTTTTTTTCCTCTTTTTTTCTTCACTATCTTATATAATTTTATGTGTATGTAAGAGATAAATTTATCTGTTATAATATAAGAAATATTTATTCTTATAATAATTGATGTTTGATGTAAAGAAGAAGGGAAAAATATTTATCCTCTTAAATGACACAACTTATATCCTTTCACACTCACAAAGAGGTGTGACTCACTTTTATTTTTGTTTGTCAACTCTCTGTGCTCCTTTATCTATCTCTTTCTCTCTTAAAATGACACAACTTTACATTCTTTAAAATGACACACACTTTTCCCATATAGGAGTTTGCGTTTATCATTTAACATGACACAACAAAATTTTCTACACACACAATATTTTGTGGGGCCCACATTTTTTGAAGAAAAAAAAATTTACGACACACAAAACGATTCTTTATAACATTACACAATCACTTTTCCTACAAGATTACTCTTATAAAACCCTTAAATATATAATTATAACGAGAAACATTCAGTTATAATTCACGTAATTTACATAATATACATTTAATTATATAGGGGGAGGGGGTGGAATTCTATTACTACAAAAACTACATAAGAATTTATCCTTTCCAGTGAGCATAACTTCACGCAAAATGGCACGAGAAAGGAAAACAATTACTGTGATAAAAGTAAGGGATTTATAAGAATAATGTCATAGAAAGACCAAATGTGGGTCAGACAACATTTCACGAGACATTCGATTGTAAATAAAGTACATGTTACGCAATAGTTTACCAAGGGTGTCTTCGAGAGTTTTTAAGGAGTGGTTTCCAATAAAGTGAATTAAAAAGGTAAAAAAATCACCTCAATGTTTAAGAGTTTTGATGAGGAAATAAAGTATAACATCTCGTTTCCAAAAAAAAAAAAGTATAACATCTCTTAGTTGTTTGAAAGTCTACATGATAACTATTAAAGTGGAGTGGAGTGTAAATTTGCCTTCTGTTCTAGTCCTAGAGTTTACATAAATGGAATCTGGTACCAATTTTTCTCATCACAACTTTTCAGTAATGGGTGTTTTATGGTGAAGGGCGACTGTAGAAAATATCTCTAGTATGAAAAGAATTGAACAAATTTAAATCCTAATTGTAACATAATTTTACTTAAAAGTAAACTTTGCTTCAAAAAATAACATTTTAAAATTTTATTTTAATAATTTATTTAAAATAGGCATTATGAGGGCAAAAAATTAAAAAAAAAAATACCCCACAACGTCTAACGATACAGTTTGATGTTCAATTATTCAAAATAGCATAACTTTTATGTTAAGCAGGTAATTGTCAACTCTAAACAGAAAATGCATTTGATTTTCAACTAGGTAATTATAATTTGACAGAATTAAGTAATGAACAACTAACTATCCCAAATAAGACAAAGACTTCATCCCACCTGGGCATGGCAATTTGGAGCCAAACCATAGGTTATTAGGCTCAACACTAAAAAAATAAAAAAGCTGACAAGATTTGCAAATTTAATTACGGTAACTACAAAAGGAGCTCGAAACGATTTATATATTAGTTTTTTGAGTTTAATTTTGTCATGTCGTATGAGAATTAAATTTTTATGTTGTAACTTAAAAAGTGGTGAGTCTCATATTTATTAAAAAGAGAAAAAAAAAAACTTTACACACAAATCGAAGAAAAATCATGAGAAAATATTTTCCGATTTTTATAATACAACACAAAACATAAACCAGATCAAACAAAAAGAACTACTCAAATTTTTTTTTTTTATATCTGAACCGGATTCTCCAGCCAGCCGGCCGTACCGCCCTCTACGTCATTAAGCCATGCGGTAATAGCAAAGTTATACTATATTTTTTCTAACTATTATACAGAACTCTAATCTAGAATTTATATAATAATAAATTGTTATTTACAGCGTGCATGCGTAAACATCAAAATAATAATTGTAAACTACTCGAAAGACTCGAGGGCTCACATCACGGAACAAGCATTGGGATTCTCGTCACTGAACATCTGCGGAGGAGGAGCATGATGATGATGCATAGAGAATGGGGGTGGCTCTACCATGTACCCTTGGTTTACATCTACATACCCATGGTTTTGGGGCATGTAACTATTATACTCATGGTTTTGGGGCATGTAATGATACCCTTGATTCCAATTATGCCCTTGATGAACATCCTCCACTGCGTAGCTCCTGCTGGTGCTGCTTTCACCGGGTGCGTATCCGTGGTAATAGTAAGTGGGAGGTGGGTACCCGTACCCGTAATGCTCCATTTTGTTAACTTCCACCTTGGTAGCACCAACCTCCTCTTTTTTGCCACCGTCTCCGCCACCACCCTCCTTCTTGTTCTCCTTCTTTTCAACCCCTCCTCCTCCATCTTTCTTGGGTGGGACCACCTCCACGTTTCTCTTCAGCTTCTCCTTCAGATAAGGTACCATTTCCTTCTCCTCCATCGTTCCCTTCACCGTCACCAAATCCTTTTCTTCTTCAATCTTCACCGACTCAACTCCTGCACAACAAACACAACACGTCCCCATAAACCATCTTTAGCAACTTCAACCACAATTTTAATTAATAATTAATCATTTAATTGTTTATTAGTACCGGCTAACTTAAAAAAATATATATATAGTACGGTTTTATTATTTATATCCACGACTCCCAAACTTTAACTGATATAATAAATTTTAATTAAAATACTTGTAAATTATTTCATAATTAATTAAGTTAGGTCAAAATTCAGTCCTGGCTAACCTTTGGCCTTGAGGATAATCTTCCGAATTTTCTGAACACAACCCTCACAGTGCAATCTGATCTTCAAAACCACCGTGCTCTGAACCGACCACAAATAAATTAACAGAAAACCGGTTAGTAAAATCAACAGAAATTCAAAGTCACGCTAATTAAATAAATTAATAAGGAAAAATTATTTAGTCTATTTTGACCAAATTGGGCTGAAATTTGCGTTCTGTTTCGTCAGTAATCACCGTATTGACGAAGGTTAGAAATTCTGTGGAAGTGGCAAAGGAAGATTACATACATCTTTCGGTTTTTTCGCCTCGGGATTTTTGTCGTCGGTTTTCTTCTCTTCGGCCTTCTTCTCCGGCGGTTTATCGCCGCCGGATTTCTTCTCTTCGGCCTTGGATTCTTTCTTCGGCTGAGGGGAAACAATCTCAACCTTCTTCTTAATCTTCTCCGCCAGTTTATCTCGCAGCTTGGCGGGGTCCACTTTTCCAATAACCGTTAGCTTGTTACCAGGCATATCGGCCTTAACGTCCTCCACACCTGTATCCACAACAAACTCCACTGATTAGGGTCCGATTTTGAAGTTTCGAATCTCATTCTCAATTCGAGAAATCATCTCTCTGAATTTAACAATTCCGAAGGATAAAAAAAAAAACTCCGAATCGAGATCTCAATAGTGATGGTAGTACCGTCGAAATGGCGAACAGTTCGTTTGATCTTCTTGACACATCCCTCGCAATGCATGTCCAATTTAAAAACGACAGGGACGGGTCCGTCGTCTTTCTTGGCTCCTCCGTCGGGCTTTTTCTCGGTCTCATTCTTCGCCTGTTCTTTTTGCTGCCATGAACGACAAAAAAAAATCAAAACGCGTGAGTGAGGACTGAAACTTTTAGTAACATACTGAAAAGGAATCCACTCTCTGATCGAGTGCTCTGAGGAAAAGTAGAAATGAAATTAAAACTAACCTCTCCCATATGACACTATTGTGGTTAATTTTGATGCTTTTGTTGGTTAAATTTCAAAAGTGGAATTTGTAAAAGAAGCCAATGGAAGGTATATATAGAGAGAGGTGATCGATGATGTGTCACACTCATGTATGGGGGTTTGCAACATGTGTTATGTATGCATGTGCATACATTTATGATATTGATTTGGCGTGATTTTTTATTTTTATTATTTTTTGTTTTATTTGGTGGAATATGCTATACGTTATAATAAGACCAAGAGGATGTGTATTGGAAGGTTTCCCGGTGTTGCCGCAGGGTTGGACTTGCGGTTGTCGAGAATCATTTAATTTTGACCGGAACCTGACTTGATAATGGAATGACTTATTTACCCTTGGCTTTCTGGTGTAATTGCAAAAGGTAACTGACCCTTGAACACCCGTAGAATCCGGTGAAAAAACGGTAAAGTGAAAAAATAAAATAAAATTGTATCCGTTGGGTTAAGGATGAGACGCAGTTTTTGAAAAAAAAACGTAGGACAATCTGGTAATATAAGGATATGCTGCGTCCAATAAATAAAGTTCAGTCCCGTGGGCTTCTCCGAGAACAGGACTTGAGTTTTCCCACTTCTGACCCTTTTTCATGTCAAAAGAACAATAACCACTTTCCAATGCCTCCACAGTTCTCCAAGTGAGAATCTAGAATCCTGTTATGATGTTTATGAATAATAAATTAATAATAGGAGTGACCAAACTAAACAAAACTATCATGACAACTGATTTGGTAGTGGGTCTTACTTCTCACTTAATTACATTCCGGGTTCAAACGAGCTTATGCTCATTAAGAATCTTGTTTGCTTAAGGAAATGTCTTTAATTTGTATTTGATTATTCAAAATCGTTGGTTAGTAACGAGAACAATTTCCATATCAAATCAGAATTTTTTGATAGAGAATGTTAATGAGGGATTGGTTAAAGAATTAAAATAAAAAGTAATAAATAAAATTCAAAAAATATTGATAAAAAGTAGATACTTCTTAAATATGCTATAAGAATTTGTCTTCTAGATGAATTTAATTTGGATTAATGTAAAAATCAGATCCAATAATACTTCATGGCACAACCAGAAAGCCAACGGAAAAAGAAAAGGATGAAGACGGATCTATAAACTTAAATCCTTACGTACAAAGATGAAGACGACAACTTTTTAATTAAAGTTGATTGATTAAGGTAAATGCACGTTTTAGGGAAAACAAAGTAATTTATATATATTTGATTTGAATACATAATATCATTTACTTACCAGCTATCAACGATGTTGAAATCATTTCAACATTTCGCATTTTTAGAAAGATCAACACTATCTTATAGTCAGTGACGTCTTGGTAAACAATTCTTTCTTCGGGTATATTCATGGCCAACGTATCGTTTGGTCCCGAGCAGCATGATATTCTTGATTCGCGAGTGGAGTTAACAAATAAGCATATTAAAAGAATATTTATGTTATTTAAGAATTATTATGTGATTATTAAAATACAGCCAGAAAAACATACCCTCTAGAGTAGCACTCTAGGTTCATCAAGAAAATATTTTACCAAGAGAATTACTTATAAAATTTATCAGGAATTCTCTTGAATTGTCCAATATCAGCACTTGGGATGGGCGTACATACACAACACTTAAAACCCTTATTTCTTCTTTGTCTGTCTGGACATCTTGAATTGCTGAAATTCTTTACACTTACACATGTAATAAGGATCAAGGACCAGTTTAACTCGGTTCCAATTGGGATGATCAATTTCTGGGGCAGGCTCGTCCAACTTTAGATGTCAGCTTCATAGCAAGTTTTATGCATATGGCTTTGAAATTATCAGCGCTATGCTAGAAGGAATCGATCGACCAATTATTCAAGAAGCCACACTCCAAAAATAGAACGTGAAGTGTCAACTTGGGCCATTGTGTTTATGGACTATCTGGAAGATTACAAACCTAATAATTTCGTGCCAAATTCATACTCTAGAATGATCATCCAGTAAGCCTCAATTATATAAAGGTGCCACGGAAGAAGGTACATAATTAATCACACTATTCTTAAAGGGGTGGAGACAGGGTTTGGACATTTTACCGTCGACCGCAATAATGGTTAAACACTGATTGTGTTGGAGATAAGAGAAATCTATTTTTTTTATGCTCTTCTTATATTAGCTAGGCCAATAGGACTTTATTCTAATATGATAATAAGGTGTGTTCGATCCTAATAATAGACTGAGATTTCTGTTGAATTTGTAAACTAATACTGTTTATGGGAGAATACTTTCGGTGCACATGTGACCCCGTCCAAAAATTGACATATGGAATAATTTTTTTTTTACTCTTCTTTGTACAACTTTTATTTTTTCTCTTCAATTTTGATTGGCTCGTCGCACTAAGTCAGTGATGTGATGAGTGTACCTTAAAAATTTCATGATTATGAAAAAGACAATTATAAGTGATGGCAGATTGTACACAGAAAAGAGACTAGAGCCTAAGGGGCCGTTTGGTACACGGATTTTTCCCGAATTATCGGGAAACTGAATTTTTTTAAATTTTAAATTTTCAGATATTATTGTAAACTGAATGTAAAAATCATATTTTTGAAAATCGAGATTTCCGAATAAATAAAAATTTCTCCTGTACCAAACACCCCTAAAAGTGAAAGGGAATATATAAGTGTTATAGTGACAACAATAAGAATTAGAGTTGTAAGAGAATTAGATCTGAAACTTAATCTGTATTCACAGGGTTTTATATTTGAAGGTGGATCAGACTTGCTCCATATTGCTAGAAGGGACCCATGAATCCCGAACAAAGTGAATAAATTTAACAACATAAATAGATGGAGTGACACCTTATACAAAAGATTCAACGTCCATAACTAATAAGCCTTTGTGTTTGAGAGAAGGTTTATTTTTAGATTCCCGTAAAAGTTGAGGATGATAATTTAGTTTATTCATATTTGGTAGAAAAAAATTGAATTTTTTTTCCAAAAATGTGATTTTCCTAGAACTTTGTTTTGTGTATACAATATAAATCAATATCACCAGAAAGTGGTATTCTCACTTTCTCAAAAAAATAAAAAATCAGATGTGAAAATTTTGACAAAAATCTTGGTAATATTTTGGACCACCGAATATTTTTTTTGTAATATTCTCAAAAAAAACTCACTTTTTTATCATATTTTCGAGAATCATAATTATGAGTAAAAAAAAAAATTCTCCTCCATCAAACTCAAAGGCAAGGTTAACATGCAATAAAAAAGGTTCAGAACTTATAGATGTGACTTTAAGCCTCTTTTAGGTGATTTTTTAAGTTAAAAATAATTTTTAAGATAAAGTTAAAAATAAAACTTTAAAAAAAAAATTAAAAGCTTTCTATGATTATGTGATTTTTTAATTTAAAAGTTATTTAAAACTCAAGCTAAAATAAAGGGATTAATGTTTGTCCTTTTATTTTTATTTTTTGGTAATACGTGTTTGTTCTTTAAAGGACATAAAATTATGTCATTTTAATCAAAACTATAATATTTTATGGTGAGAGAAAAAGTTACACAATAAAATCATAATAAAAGAAAAGTGAGCGATTTTTTTTAATTTAAATATTAAAAAAGTCATTTTAACTAAAATGACTGTACTTTAAAAGGATAAATATTTTTTCCAGAAATAAATTATTTGGTAAAATAACTTATATTATGTTCTAAAAAGTTGATATACATGTTAAAAAAAACTCCGCATGAAAAAATCTTCTAATATTTTTTTTTTTGCTATTCGAAATTTTATAAAAATATGTTTCACTTTACCCATCAAACGGATACTTATGGGATACTTATCATGAGATCTAAGATTGAATCAGTTCCAATTGTAAACACCCTCTGATTAATCAACTTTTAAGACTTTTAATATTGTCGTGTCATATAAGGGAAAGATTGATGACAAATAGAGTGGGCTTAATTAGTAGTATCTTATATTGAAGGGAGTTGATTCTCATGCTTGTAGTTTGGAAAGAAGAACGAGGCGGATGCACATTGAAACGATAATTTATTGTGATTTTGACAAAACGTGCTACTTTTTGTTCCCCGGTGAACAGATACATTTTTGGAAAATACTATCCTCATTTTACATGAGGTAGTTATTTCATTTTCTCTCAATTCTAAAACCGTGTCCCTTTTTTTTTTTTACATGAGAGAACTACTCTCATGTTACATAAGAGTAATATTACCCTACTTTTTTCCAAGGAATATTTTATCTCCAACATGGAGATATTTTTGGTGGATTATTTTCAAGGGGCATCATCTGTATAATCATTACCGAAGGATTTATACCTAAATTAATGTGTACAATATAATTCGTTTACAAAAATACAAATTAAGAAGTTTGAATAAAAATTGTCTGCAGAAGATAAAAAGGAACTACATGGTAGGAGAAAACACAACGAGACTTGTGGTTTTCTGAGGAAGGTCTTTGCCGACGCATGAGATTGAGATAGTGGATGACGGTTAAAATTTGTCTATAAAAGAAGCGAACTGAACTTACGCGAGTTTAGTGAGATCCAGTAATTTAAATTCTCAATGGCAACGGACCAAACGACACTTCGAGGAAACCGTGTTGCACATATTGATCGTGATTGTGATACATGCAAACTCATGCTCCCTTTTCTATGGGATTCTCTGCCTTGCCTGCAACAAAAATGTGTAACACGGGTCAATTTCTTATGTTCCGTAGACGCGTGACATCTTCATTAAATTCCTCTTCTCTGCTACTACGCACTTACATTATTTTTGGGTGGGATAAAATTATAAAACGTGTAGATGTACCTTGGTTAATATATTTTTTTGGATCTACCCTTTGATAATATTATAAAGCCACTTAAATGTCATTTGAAATTTGTTAATAAATACTTGACGTAGTCATTACCTTTTTAGTTAATTATCTTTAATTCTTTAAAAGTGATTTGTGCTCATTTGGATGAGCTTTTATTTATAAAAAAGTTACTTTTTTTTTTAAAATAAAAGTTCTTTTGAGAATTTTTAGATGTTTGGATAACAACTTTTTAAAAAAGCAAATTTTAAAATAAAAGTTAAAATACTGCTTTTTTGTTATCAAAAAAAAAAAAAAAAAATACTGCTTTTTTTTATAGCCATTGCTTTTGAAAAAAGCAGAAATTAAAAGATAATATAAATTAATTTTTTTGAAAAAAAGATAATATAAATTTTTAAAATACAATTTTAACCTCATCCTATCATACTTATTTTATCTCTCCTTATCCCTATTTTATCTATCCTTTAATGTAAATTTATATATAAAAAGTACTTTTTTTTTTATTTTAACATCTAAACAATTTTTTTATGTAAAAAGTGATTTTCAGATCATACGTCCAAACGTAAAATAATTTTACTTTTTAAAAAAATTTATTTTAAAAAAAACAATGCATAAAAAGTCATTTTTTTAAAAGCTCATTAAGTTAAAAGTTACTTTTAAATTGAAGTTGAAACTTAAAAAAAGCTAAAAACTGCTTGGTGATTATATAAATTTTTTGAGTATTTTAAAGGAAAGGAAATGAAATATTTTTTTATTAAAATGAATTATTAAGATAAAAAGTAAAATTGATAAATAATGCATTTAGAATAAAGGTCAAACTGAGAAAAAAATATTAGAACTAAAGAACTAATATATATTTAAAAAAACTCCTTTTAAGAGTTTTTAGCTTTTGTCTTTTTTATTTATTATAACAAAATTTTATTTTTTATAATATGGCTAATAATCTATTTATAAGAAAAAAGAGAAACTTTGTACAAAAAAGAAGAAGAAGAGAAACTAAAAGTAAGACTCCCCAAATACGCAGTGAGTTTTTTTTTTTTTTTTTAAATATTCCAATCGGTTCATTGCTTCACAACTAATTCGATTCGGGGCGGGTACAAGATTACGGTTTTAAACTCCTTCCAAAGGTGCTACTGGAGAAATTTGAACACATGCTTTCACCCCACCTACTTAGCTCTTATGCGCCAACTGAACTACCACCATTTGATAATACTCACTGAGTTCTTTGTTTACGTAAGTTTTGACTTCTTTATTATATGCATTTGAAGGCATCATATAACCCTCTTCCCCAAAGCTACACAGCATTCTAACAGGTGATAATTATGTTGTAACTTGGGCCTACTACAAATTTGGGAAGAGTGAGGAGGAGGCCCAACATAAAAGGCCCAATAGTATCATATTCGAAATTCCGAACCTTTTCTAACCAAGTGCGAGTGCGCTCTCTTTCATATCCATCTAGCTGAGCTTCCACCACTATGCCTGCAACTGCATTTTCGTGCTCGTTCCTTGTTCTGCAACCTCGCTTCAATTCATACATTAACCCTATCTTCCGCTCGCTCAGCTACCAACTCTCTTCTTCGCCGGTCCCATTGAATGGCAAGTTCTCCGGCGCCAGACTCTGTTCTGCGCTTTCACGAGCGGCGGAGACTGAGTCTCCGAGCGGTGGTAGGTCAGGTGCGTTATCTCCCGGTCCGGAGGTCACCGGTAATATGCAGAAAATCGACGTGAACCCTCCCAAGGGGACGCGTGATTTCCCGCCCGAAGACATGCGCTTGCGCAACTGGCTCTTCAACAATTTCAAAGAGGTATATGATTTTACACTCAAATTGCTCAATGATATGCTATGCTATGCATGCTTCAGCTTGATTATCTGATTTCTTTTGTATGTTTATTGCGAGGATTAGGTTTCGCGGTTGTATGGATTTGAGGAGGTTGATTTTCCGGTGCTTGAGTCGGAGGCATTGTTCACTAGGAAAGCAGGAGAGGAGATTAAGGATCAGGTAATCTTTCCGCTTTATTCTTTCCTTGAGATGCTGAGTGAGTATATACATAAATAATGCGTTTACCGGTTATTATAGCCTGATGAATATATTGTTAGGATATGTGGATTTGCAAGAATTGTCCATACAAACATCCCACTGTTGAAATCTCATTAGTACAGAAAATGCACTGAAACTCCAAATTCCTAATTTTTATTGGTTTGTGACTGACATAAATCCATCAGCGTTTTTGCAAAGATAATGTCAGTGGACAATGGTTATGCTAATCGTTCTTCATTTTGTTGGTTTGACATTGCTTGTACTGAAGACTAATTATCTAATTTGTACCTCTAATTTATCTGATAGTGGTTCTGCATTTCAAAGTTTCAATATGCTTGGAACAAAGATCAGTTCTGAGTGTTTCTCAGTTTAGCTTTAGTGATGCTATTAGATGTCTATGATGAGCTACTTGTGTAGCATCTTCTTGGATGATAACGTACAAGATGGAAATATTTTATTCAGATTTTATTCTCAGAAGTCTCAAAGACATATTCTTCCTTGTCTCATTGCTTTAGTTGTAGATAAGCTTGGAGCAGGTCTTTAGTATGTAATTGCAGGAGCAGCAGAAAGAACTATGGTTTCATGAGTCGTGTTGTTCCACTTGCAGTCTTCCAGAGATATCATCAAGGGAACCATTTATTATTTTCTAATTCATAAATTCATTTGGAGAAGTTCATTTATTTTTGATTAAAATTTTAGGTAAATGACCTTGGTGTTTCACTGTTTCTGCAGTTAAGGCTTGTCTTTGTTATTCTGCATCATATATTCAACTACTTTTGGACGGTTAATACTTTAAATCTGACAATAGATTATGTACAGTGAATCCTGTTAGCATCATTCTATTCTTTGACTTCATTGGGAAATAACATTTGCAAATAGAGCAATGATGTGGCCTTAAGGTGTTTAGAGGTAATCAATTTAGTTCTCCTAATGGAACAACCATAATTTAGGTATGTGAGACCTGTACATGGCTTTATGATTGATGATTTTCTATGCGAGGCAGCAAAAGTTTTCCTGTGGTGCCTGTACTTTGATAGCAATTGTGGCACACAAGCAGCATGCTTGTCTTAAATAATCAACATTATGATTAAATATTTTTTAAAATAAAAAAAAATCTATTAAAAGAGAAGGAAAGAATACCAAGGAATTTTGATAAAATGATAAAATATATACATTACAATTGTGCAGCTTTATTGTTTTGAAGATCGGGGTAATCGTCGTGTTGCATTGAGGCCTGAACTTACTCCTTCTTTGGCAAGGCTGGTGATCCAGAAAGGGTAAAATTATTTTTGATATGCTCATTTTAGGTTTTCCTATATTTGTAATTTTGATGTTGAGTCTGTCTCAAAAATTATAGTTTAACTTATATAACTATTCCTGTTTTTTGTATGTGAATCCAAATTCTCATCTTCATGTTTGTTCTTTTCTTTCCAGGAAGTCCGTGTCTCTGCCATTGAAGTGGTTCACTGTTGGACAATGTTGGCGGTATGAGAGAATGACAAGGGGGCGTCGTCGTGAGCACTATCAGTGGAACATGGATATCATTGGTGTTCCTGGGGTTATGGTATGTGCTGCTTGCCATGCATACTTTTTGAAGCAATGGGATGCCCTCTTTCTGGTCAAATGTTTAACAATTGATCCAGAAAGCATTGCACTGAGGTGTTATGAATTTATAATTTATAGTTTTGACGTTTTAGTTATGTTAGTTTAGCAGTTATTTAAGCATAGTTATTAATAGTGTGCTATAGCAACTGCATTGCAGCCTCAGGCCTCTATAAGGTTTCTATGAGGGAGCCTTTTCCAGTCGTGGCTGCTATCCCTTAAAAATGCGGCCATTGTGGCCACTTTCTAGTTAAAGGGGCAAAACCCCTTTTTTACCCTGTCTTCTAAGTCTTTGAACCCATTATTTTGTATCTTCATGATTTGTTGTCATTTTCCATCAGAAATATATAGGGTTTCTGTTTCAACAAAAAAGACACTCATTGTGACTCTTTTGATGAAGAAGCCGAAGTGTGACCTCAGTTTCATTCCTGGTCACTGACTCACTGCACTGGCGTTGTTTTTGGCTAACCCCGACATTTTCCTACAGACCTCTGCTCTCTGGGTCTCGGCCAGGTCTCTCTTCATGCATCTCTGTTCTTCCCTTTCATTGGTCCCTGTTTACATCAGGCATCATAGCTTCACAGTTCAGAGTTCTATTCTTTTTTTCCCAACTCCTTTTACCTATGAGATTCGATTTTTAATTATGAGCATGTCTTTAATTTTGGGTAATTCTTTTAGTTTTCAAGTATGTATACAGGTGTAGTATAAATTAATTATCTTCTACTTTTAATCTTTGGTATAGCAGCCATCCCACTATCTGCTATCTTGCTATAACGTTTTTGTGGTCAGCTGGTCTATGCCACTATCAGGGATTGATAACTATGATTGTGAGATATCCTCTGATAAGTGATTGCTCTCTCTCTCTCTCTCTTGCCCTTCTCTTTCTCTCTCTATTTGTAGTTGAGTCTCAAATTAATGAAAATTTCTGGATGTTCCTCACAATAAAGTCAGGAGATGTGCTGTTTTTTATTTCTTTGGCATGCTTCCTTGGGTAAATTTTCATGGTTGGTTCACATTGTGTACCTTATTTTATGATTTTGAATGATGGTACTGCTAATGATATTATTGAATGCATTGGACTGTTATCCTTTGTATACATTTTTCACAAAGCTTTTTTATTTTTTATTTTGTAGGCTGAAGCAGAGCTTATATCTTCTATTGTCACTTTGTTCAAGCGAATAGGAATTACAGAATCAGATGTTGGATTTAAGGTTTCTAGTCGAAAGGTGCATATTTTATTTTCTTTGTACGAATGATGTTCCTAGTTTCCTTCCACAGTGCTCTTTATTGCATTTCCCCTTATTTTCTCAAGGGCTTGTGTTAGTTAATATTACTCTTTGACATGTATCATGTCCTGCCTGCTCCTAAAACCTGTCTATTTTGCTCAGTGTTGTTTCTGGCTTCAATTTTAATGAATATGATATCTATATATTAACTTGTCGAGATGTATGATAGATTGAATTTATCAAAACCTTTTTAGCTATATGCTTGATTTCTGGTTGAAGGTTCATTTCTAACATCACGTGTTGTCAAAGCTTTGTTCACTGGACTTGGCTTAGTTTATTAGGACTCAGGAGTACAATAGAGATCTTTACCCTATACTTCTGTACAATATTACAATTCAAGTCCTTGCTATGCTTGTTATTGAGGATTGTTTTGGTGGCATGCTTGCTTTATCTTCATGTAATGATGCAATTAATTTATCATATGTTGTGAAGTGTTGTTATCTCAATTTTTGCATGTAGTTTGTTTCACCTTTGTAGGTATGCAGAGTCTGCAATAAACCGTGTTAGGAGTTTAGTTCTTAATTTTTCTTAATTCGTGTGGTTCCAGGTATTGCTTTAGTTATGTAATAGCCTTTCACTCTGTTGTATATTTCCTTGCTTTACAGGTTCTACAGGAAGTATTGAAACATTATTCAATACCTGACAATTTATTTGGCAAGGTCTGCGTCATTATTGATAAAGTGAGTTATGCATAGTGTTGCTATTTTAGTTTATTTTTCTAATTGTTGATGGTGCTCTAAGATTCCTGATCTTTGTTTGTTATCGAGAAACAAATATGATAAGGAGATTATGATATCTCCTGTTTTTTCTAATGGTTTGTAATTACCAAGCAACATAGACTGATATTTTTTGACCTCATACACCTACTAGGGCAGAGCTGATGAGGTGGCTAAGGGTTAAGATAGGAATTTAGGTTGTTACCCTGTGATGGAACCCAGAATATTCAACAACAAAGATAACCACAATTGAACAGTAAAATGCTTCCATTATATCAGTATTCATTACAGAGACGCTAACTACTCAGCATAACAAAGAGATACAAGAAATATAAAGGAATAACAAATAAAGCACCAAAAATCTCACTCACTCCCAAGCCAAAATACCAAGGCCAAAGAGATCCCAAGAGATCCTCTCCAAAACCCAATTTACCAAAATACTCAATAATCTCCTCTCCCCCTCCCCACACTCCTTTTATTCTATTCTTTAGGAATATTCTAGAATAATTTCTCTAACAACTAACTAATTTACTATATTGCTAAACTTGGGCCCACTAATCATAGCCCATCAATACTCCCCTTTCAAAATTCACCTTGTCCTCAAGGTGAGGAAGAGAATAGGGGATGTAATTGAACATCTACCAGGGTCCCATTGCTTGAAGAACATTGATCCTGTCACTCTTGAAACTGAAAAATTGTCGGATCCCCTTTCCCCCTTCTCTCCATACTGCACATATCTGGCCATGAAACAAGGTATATCTCCATATTTCCCATGCTCTGTTTTTTTCTTGTTTTGCTGGCCCCTTCCAAACAAAAATTTCGGGCCACAATCACCGTTATTCAAGCCTAAATGTGTCTGGTCGTGTAACCCCATGGTGAAACCCATTGGGTTTGACCCAAATGAACAGCTCAGTAATTTTAACATTACTCCATCACCATCCACAACCTCCATCCATCGTCTTTGTAAGTTTCCAAAGCTCAGTAGAACTTCCGCCGCCGGCAACCACAGGAACCGCCCGCGCCTGTCACTGTCGTTTGTTGCCTCCGACGACCCGTCTTGTTCATAAACCAGCCCCTCGTTCTGTCCGTTCAAGTCCAGCTCCTCTTGAGTTAGTCTTCCACATCGCGTTCCTCGTCGGTGTTTTTGGTCGCTGCTCGCCGTCGTCACTCTGCCTTGGGTGGAATTGTTTTTGTCGATTGTTGCCCCTATGAATCGATTAGGGTTCACACTGCCCACACTAACTGCTGAAGATTGTATTTCATGGGTTGGTTTAATGATTTGGGCCGCTGGTGATTTAGGACTGTGGTGAGGCCCAACTCGACCTCCCCCCATACTATTGGACCTCCGTTGGGAATTAGTAGGCCCCTGACATGTGTTAAGACCCAGCCCATTACCTCGGTCCACACTTGTCCTTTGCTGATTAATGGGTTTGTTCATTAATGCGGGTTGACCCATTTTTCTCGCTTCATTGCTGGCCAGCCCAAATCGCTTTTTTGATTCAGCAAATCCAGGCCCAGGACTATGAGGTAACACTTCGTCCCTCTCCTCGAAACGTTGCGCCCCTGTCTTCATGCGTTCCACATCCATCAATGGGTGCAAACAGATTTCAACTCCAATTTCTTCCGTCAAGCCACTGCGAACAACCGCTCCCATCTCCTTCTTTGTGTATTTATCTTCTGCTCCCTCTACTTCATCCGCTTCTGGATCTTTGTCATCCTCTTCTTCGCCTTCAACTTCTGCGTCTTCCGCTTCTTCCCTTTCTGTCTCTTCAACTTCTGTTTCCTTCGCCGTGTCTTTTTCTTCTCCTATTTTGATTTCTTCTTTTGCTATTTCATTACCACCAACTGTTGGATCTGATTTTAGAGCTGTGATTCCCTCCTTATCTTCTAGAATGGAATGCTCCGATTCTGGCTCTTCATCTACCAATAAAATTTCCGGTAAATATTTCTCTATGAACGCCTTCTCAAACTTCTTCAAGTTTGCGGTAAGATTCAACCACTTCCAACCTTGATACCAATTGAACGCACTACCTCTTAGCCCTCTCACCGTTTCCCTATATTTTTTATCTTCATTGATTCCTTCGTCTGGAAATATTGTTCCAAATCGATCAGCCATCCCCAAGCATCATCTCTTTCTTCTCCAAAGAATTTTGGAACATCAGTAAATCTGAATTTCATTTCATTTTTTTTCTTTCTTTTTTTTTGTTTTTTTCTGGATCTGGACCAGAAAGCACTCCCTAGATCGGAAATGCTCTGATACCAAATTGATGGAACCCAGAATATTCAACAACAAAGATAACCACAATTGAACAGTAAAATGCTTCCATTATATAAGTATTCATTACAGAGACGCTAACTACTCAGCATAACATAGAGATACAAGAAATATAAAGGAATAACAAATAAAGCACCAAAAATCTCACTCACTCCCAAGCCAAAATACCAAGGCCAAAGAGATCCCAAGAGATCCTCTCCAAAACCCAATTTACCAAAATACTCAATAATCTCCTCTCCCCCTCCCCACACTCCTTTTATTCTATTCTTTAGGAATATTCTAGAATAATTTCTCTAACAACTAACTAATTTACTATATTGCTAAACTTGGGCCCACTAATCATAGCCCATCACCCTGCATGCGTGGCAGGTAGGAGTGAGGGAAGATGGAAGTGAGGCGTGAAATCTGTCAAGGGAAATGATCAAAAGGCTGGAGGGGGAGAGGGTGAATTAGGCAATCGTTCATTAAGGAATTGGGGCCTTAGGGAAGGGAGGAAGTAGGCCCTCAAAGATCAGCAGGTGTTTCTGTCTTTGTTTTCTGTTTCTCAGTTTCATAAATACGGATTTTCCCTATTGTAGGATTCCTTTTCATCCAACCCAATGCCTAGAAAATTTTACGGCATTAAAATTTTTCCAAACAGGAATTTGAAAAAAATGTCACCCAATCTTCACCTTGCCGGGGAACAAGTTGTCTTAATCTCTAATAAATACATTAGTTTTCTTGTGGACTATCTACCAACAGACCACCCATCAAACTGTTCATTCAGCATATTGCATTGCATAGAAAGAGTCACCATGAGCTCCACCTCGTCCCAGAGTTATTCAAAAAAGCCATGCCATTTCTCAGTACTTTTGTCAAGAGTTGCTCCATGAGTTATTTCTAATGCTCAATCTCTCGAGGCACGGCAGCACACTCATCATGGGCCAACGGTTTAATACCAAGATAAAAAGAGAGATATAGAAAACAGTGCTTGATTTAGTTAGGTTTATGTAATACATATACATACATGTATGTAATTTAATTTATTGCTCCCAGGAGAATTATTGCAAAGTTATGACTAGGATTCAAATAAAATCACCCACATTTATATTCTTGAAGTCCCTTGACCTTCGAATGCGTCAGGTTGTGATGCTCAAACTGGAAAATGGCAAATGTTTTTCTGGGAAATTCTGGGGAGCCCGATATTGTAAATTTTTTAATGAGTAAATACCCTTTTAGGTCCTTGACAAAAAACATGGTTCCTATTTTAGTCCCTTACAAAAAATAATTAGCTTCGGGGTCCCTAACAAATTCAAAGTGGACCCATTTAGTTGAAATCGTGGTCCCTCACAAATTCAAAAAAGACCCATATTAGTCCCTTAAAAGGACTAAAATGGGTCCATTTTGAATTTGTTAGGGACCTCGAGACTAATTATTTTTTGTAAGGGACTAAAGTGGGGACCGTATTTTTTGTTAGGGACCTAAAAGGGTATTTACTCTTTTTTAATTTATGCTTGAATTAAAGTTATCAGCGATTTTTTAGTGTTCTTTGCAAACTTAAGTTCTCGTGGGAATCAATTTATCATAAAGTGTGAAGAACTAATTCCCGTCTGTACTGGTGGAAATTCAGTTTTTAGCCTCATGAAAGCTGTCCTAATCATGAAATATTTAGTTTTCAACCTCTTCCACCACCTCCACTATCACCATAATCGTCGTTGTTGTTGATTCTACCACTGTAACCACAATTACCATCATGAAGCCTCTACATCACTGTCACCATCTCTATCTTCATAACTACCGGGACATTCACATTGCCACTGCTTGCTTGTGTGGGTAACTTCGTATTATCACTGATGGTTCTAAAAAGACGATATATATTGAAATATTTTCTCAGGAGTTCCATTAACCAACCAAACATGGTCATTTTATTTGCCAATGAGTCCAACATCTTAAGGTAAGATTCTCAAATAATTATTTTGAGCAGAACATATGCAGTACTGCATTATGTTCATTGTTTGATATGCGAGATACTTATAACATTCTCCTACCAATACCTTTATACTTATACGTATGGAGAAAAGCTATAAGTATGGTGGAGGGTTAGACCCGTTGTTATTCCTATCTTCCAGATGGTCCCTTTTTAGTCTTTTTCCCCTTCATTTCCCTCACTTCTTCATTTCCCTTTCTTTTTTACTTTTATTTATTTATATACACATATATATATATTACTATGTTTTTTTATTTATTTTTACAACTGTTTTGTATCTTTCATGTGGGTTCATCTACCACTGACCCCAATTAATTTGGGATAAAAGTGTTGTTGATGTTGATGTTGATGTTGACGTATGGATTTTTCAACCATATTTTTATTGGTCCTAAGCTGGTCATATAGTCTGGGGAGCCTCTAATCCATTCTTTTTGGATACATATGATTTTACCCACTTGTAATTCATGTCTGTTTTTGTAGTGACTTAAATTTCATTTTCTGGCATTTTTCCTTGTCTCTATAGGTAAATGTATGATCGTGATCCCAAAGAAAATTGTTTTTAATAATTTTTTTGTTTTTTATTTTTAATTTTGCACAGATTGAGAAAATTCCAGTTGATGAGATAAAGAAAGAGTTGAAAGCTGCTGGTGTATCACAAGAGGCTGTCCAGGAGCTATTGCAAGTCCTTTATGTAAAGTCATTGACAGAGTTGGAAGGTTCACCCTTTGCTGTAAATTGTTTCTGAAATTTTCCAGTAGTATAACAAATTTCCTGAAAATCTTATATTTTGTAGTCAATGCTAGAAAAACACAATAAAATAGCCAGTTTTAGGCTTTTACGTTTTACCTTTGTGCTTGAGAGTAGGTTTACAAATTTAAGAATATACGTGATAGCTCTTGATGCTGAAATATCATTTCCTAGGTCATGGCATGTCTATTTGATGAAACTTCAATTTTGTATATATAGAAATCAGAAACAGTTCAACAAACAATATCAAAGCAAGTCAAGTTCCTATCAACAACAAGAGACATTTTAACAATGGCTGACATAGCCTTGAAGGAAAATAAAAATAGAACCCAAATGGAAAATAAACGAAGGGACTCCACAGTACCCTTCCTCCCACAATTCACCACTGAATTGGTTGCATTACTCTTTTCCTGCGTATTCCTTTTACAAACCCTCAACATATATTACTCACTCCCAACTACACTCTCTCTCTTCTAACAACCTCTTCCCTACAGACTCCTTCATCTGTTATAACCAATTTGGCATAATTCATTTCGTTTCCTCATTGCACTGTCTCAGCTCATGTTAACGGACCATCCACATCAGCATTCAACAATGGATCAGCCTCAACATCTGTCATTTGCCTAGGCCCAACGTTTGCATCTGCTTTAGGCCCAATACCAGTATCAGCAGCCTTATCACTTGTAGGTCCAATATCATCATCAACAGCCTCATCACAAAGATCAATCTTAGTCCTCTTCCTACGGCTATAAACCTTGTTCAGCTCCTCACCAATTACTCCCATGAAAGATTCATTCCTGTTTCTTAGAGAATATCTTACATTTGTTTGTCTTTTTGATATCCTGGGTGAGATTTTAGAAACTTGGTTAGCTTGATAGATTCTCATGGAGTTTGACCCCATTTTGTATTATATGCTACTTGATATCATTTATGTTTCTAATTTTTTTTTTTTTTTTTTGCATATCATATACCTCTTTATTTGGGATAAAGGTGTAGTTGATGTTGATATCCCTCTTTGTGATATCAAAAATATTCTCCTCGCTTTACCTTTTTCTTGAAGCTTATTTATGTTTAAATAATCTGTATTAGTTTGTGAAAAACAAGTCATACAACTTATGTGAAATCTTAATTTGGTTGTATTTAGAGAGACTTGGAAGCAATGGGGAAGCAGTTGCCGATCTGAAACAGCTATTCTCACTTGCTGAAAAGTTTGGTTACTCTAAATGGCTTCAATTTGATGCATCAGTTGTTCGTGGCCTTGCTTACTACACTGGCATTGTATTTGAGGTTAGATTTTCTCCGTAGTTAATACTTGTTAGATGTTATTGTTTACATGAAGACTAAATTCTTGCGTATGGATTGCCTCTCTGTTGCGTATCTCAATACTTTTCTCATTGGAACATGACTTGATTCTGTAACAAGTGTATAAAAGGTATTGTGAAGTTTCTTGGGGATTGTGTTTTAAAATTTATACTCTTAACGCATAATCGCACTGAAGACATGTATAATTATTGAAGTTGGCAAATAAAGGCTGAAGTGCATGATGAAAACCATAATCAGGGTTAATTTTTCATAGCCCTGAATATATTAAAAGAATACTTTGTAGTTCTTAACAAGATATTGTGATGTTCGTACCTACTCACATAAGATACTGTGGCATGTAAGATCCTTGGTGATAATATTATTTCATGATCTCCAAGAAGATGAAATGCATATATGAAATCCTATTCTCTCTTTTGTTCTTTTCTCTCTTAATGAATTCATTATTGGGATTAATGTTTCTCATGTTATAGGAAATAAAATTTATTTCCTACACATATAAAAGTGTATGGGACCCATGTGGGGCCATATGAAGAAAAGAGAGAGAAAAAGAAAATATGGGTTCCACATACATTTATCTGTGTGTAGGAGATAATTTTATCTCCTACAATATGATAAACACTAATCCCTTCATTATTTGATATAAAACAAAAATAAAAAGAAAGAGTAGATACTATATAGAGAACATAACTAATGCTTGCAAGTACACCAAAGTTTTACTGGCTATATTTTGCTGTAAAAAAGTTGCATTCTTCACTATGCTTTCCATTGCATTTGCACAATAAGAAAAACAGGAAACTTTGTTGATTGCAATGGTTCCTATTAGTGTGTTCATTTCTAGCTATGTTATAAATTGCCTGTTGTACTACTTTTCTTCTTTCAAATGATTAAATTATTCTTCAGTAGGGTTTCGATCGAGAAGGAAAGCTACGGGCTATCTGTGGTGGTGGCCGATATGATCATTTGTTCTCAACTTTTGGTGCTGATGACATTGCTGCTTGCGGTTTTGGATTTGGGGATGCAGTCATAGTGGAAGTAAGTAAGTCTATAACTTTTCAGTAGCAAGAGGAATGGGAAGCCACCAATGTTATGCATAATAAACCATCTTGTACATTTTTTTGAATTCCTTTCTGCCTCAATCTATGACACATTTTTAAGTTTCGAAACAGGTACAGTGAATCAAAACGTGTAAAACTATTGAATATAGTAATGTCATTTATTATCTATAGTTCTATACAAGCAGTTTTTTAGAAAGCATATCTTTTAATGTCAGTATAATATGTTTTGAAAGCTCCTAAAGCAATAATATTCTGTTTCTAAGTTGCACAGCTTGCCTAATAATGATGTTGGTTTGTTCTGAGAAATTTGAGCAGCTCTTGCTTCTTGGTATCAATCTAGATGTTTTGGGAGCAAAGACGATAGTGATTTTTAAAGGAGGAAATTCATGAAAAACTTCGATGGATCCAGATGGGTTAGAATTGAATGTTTTAAATAAAAATCCATGCCTTCCCAGCTTCTGTGCAGTAGAAATTTCTTTTGGACCTTTATGGTACAGCTTTTATATCTTGAATCTTGAATCTTGAGTACTGAATCTTCAAGCTTCTTAAATGGTTTTGCTTTATACTGTTCATTTTGTTTATTGCTTTCAAGTCAAGACTGCTGAGTTTCTTTGAAAATGCTGATCTGTGCTGTCAACTGATATATTAATTTTAGCCTCAGTACTGCTGTTTAGATTCCTGTTTCTCCTCCTTTTTCAACTATGCCTGACCTCCCTTTTTTTTTAACAGTTGCTCAAAGAGAAGGGTCTCCTACCAGAGTTCAGCTTGCAAATAGATAACATTGTTTGTGCCTTGGATGAAGATCTTCAAGGATGTGCTGCTATGGTTGCTAACGTTCTCAGAGAAAAAGGACATAGTGTTGAATTGGTTTTGGAAAGCAAACCACTCAAATGGTATAAAATTCTTCCATTATTTTTGTTTCCTTTTCTTAAAGCATGCTCGAATATCTTCTGATATGATGTTATAAATCCTCATATTTATTCTTCATATTTATTCTCTTCTAGGGTTTTTAAACGAGCAGCTCGAACAAAAGCTCAGCGACTGGTTTTAGTGGGGAATTCTGAGTGGCAAAGGGGTATGGTTGGTGTCAAAATTCTCTCTACTGGTGAGCAGTACGAAGTTAAACTGGATGATCTAAAGTAAATCAGAATTTGAACTTTTTTTGTTGGTTTATGTATTTTAGCTTCATTATCGGTATTTCATTTACCTTGGTTTTACTTGGGTACTTGTTTATATATACACTCACAAAACTGCATGCGCACACACATATTTATCTATACATATACATTTACCAAAGCTTCTGCTTCTGTTCATTTTCACTTGTTTCTGTTAGAGAAGTATATAAACCATTGATATAGCCTCAGCCAACAACTTAAGCTAGTGGGTGAGGGTCTCTATAATGTAAAGACCATTGATGGGCTTTCACTTAATAGCTTGAGCTTTTAGGTAAAATGGTTTATATACTTCTCTAACATTATCCAATCAAGTTCTTCGCCCATATTGTCTACCCTTTTCCCCCCTCTCCTCTCTCTCTCTCTCTCTATATATATATATATATATATATATATATATATATGAGGACACATGTATATTGTGGATAGATCAATGAGGGAATTTTCACGTGAATTCTGGAATTGAATGATTTGTTTGATAATAGATCCTTTCAACTTACAATTGAAAGCTTTTCTGCTCATTTATAGCAACCAAAGATGCTTACACTTAGAGGTTTATAGTTATTAAAATCTATTTTCATTAAGCCGTAGACTGCTGCATTCAACATTTGTCATCGTTAGGATAATATTTCCAATTTATCATTACTTGTGGCCTTAAACAATTTTTCAAGATGGTCTTATCTAAAAGTTTTGAAAGGCATTCTATGTGAATCTCTGCCTGTAGTAGAAAAGCTAATGACTTAATGGAGGGGAAACTAGATTGGAGGATGGTGTGTCTTAGGACAGAGTGTAGGGAAGCTATAAGCAGTGTGGAGGAGTAGACTCGTTTTTTTCTATTTTCCAGATTATTTTTTTTTCTATTTTCCAGATTATTTTAAGTCCTTGTTCCCTATATTAATTTATTTAATTATTTATTTATCTGTCTTTCTAGTTTGTGTTTTTTCTTATTTAATTATTTTTCCTCTTAATCTATTTTTCTCTATATGTTTCATTTTTTGTCATTTATTATTATTATTATTATTATTTATTGATTTTTTTTTCTTTTTCATCAATCTTTTCTTTTTACTTTTTATTTTTTGGTTCATCGATCACCGACGCCAACTGGTTTGGGGGAAAAGGTGTTATTCATGTTTATGTATATTATTTTTTAAATTATTTGATTAGAATGTTATTATGCTTCCTATGATTCTGGTGAGTTCTTTGTCCGTATATAATGCTTTTCTTTTCAAATCAGTAAATGTGGTAAGAGGAAAGGAGCACAATTCAATAGGTTTGGTTCAGTACAAATTAAGAAATCTTGGCATATGATGAATGGTGAATCAACATGTCAAATAATATTCCCAAGTTTATGAAGTTGAATGATTTGAAGCTTCGATATTTCATCAACATCAACACCACCTTTATATCAAACTAGTTGGGATTGGCAGCAGCCAATGAACTCAATTAAAAAACTAAAAAAGAATGAGGAAGCTTTGATTTTTCATCAATAGGGACAAATTATTAAGCTTGTTGAAGTTGTTCAAACTAGTTATGGTGAATGCTACTGCATGCCTCTGTGAGAAGAGGATAGTAGTGTAAAAGTTATGCTTGCTAAAACTAAAAAGTCTGTGGCCATTAAGCAGGAAAAGTTTCAGCAGTATTACTGACATATTTGAAGTGACAGAATTTGCTTGGAGGTACCAACTTAATGACAATGATGCGGTATGGAGTTTGAGTGAAGCTGCATGCCTTTCTTTTCTTTATAATTTCATTTATATATTTAGGAGAAACATCAATGAAAGAGTGGGTCATATGGTTAGAGTTCTTTTTTTTCATAAATTTGTTTTTACTTGATAGGAATATCGGTTCATTCACCTTTAAGTTAGTAAGTAGTTTACTGAAGTTATACTTATCTTGATTCCCTCTTTTCATATAGCCTAAAGGCATCCATCCTTGTGAGAAAGAGCAAGAGAGAGTGAACATGGTAGGATTTTCCTCTTTCAGGTGGTGTCGGGACTTCAGTGTCCAATAATTTGATGGATAATTTCAATTTTTATATTTATCTTTTCTTGTTATGTTTTGGCGTGGTTGATACATAGCCCCATCGTTTGCTGATTGTGAGACTAAGCTGGTTTTAGAAGAGAAAGAAACTTCACAAGTTGTTCCCTTATATTCATTCACGAATATAATATTGAGCAAACAATAGACTAATTTAAGCTGCATATTTTGGACATACATATAAACTTTTATTGTACTTAATGTTCATGGAACAAAGAGGCCATGATACCCATGTGGATTGGTTCTACTAGGTAGGAAGTTGTAGCTACTCATCAGTTCTATGCTTACGGATAGCATTACTAGTTTTGCAAACACAAACAGTACTGACTGATACACTAATAGTTTGATAATTGCCTTTAAGCTTTAGTTGGGTACAATTGTTCCCACTAGCCCAAATCCCATTGTAAAGAAAGCCCCTGCCTGCAGCAGCAGATAGACAAAGAAATTATCGTGTCCAAATAACAGGTCATAGATTGCACAGTGCAGCATGTACATCCCCACTATAATCTCCAATGGGTGGATCCTGTTGATTAAAGCAAAGGGTCATAAGTATGCATCAGATGAGTTAATAGTGAGAAATAGTCAAATATCATAACTTCATCCTTTACCTTATAGTGTAATGTTATCTACTACATTATCTTAAGTCCAAAATGTTCTAAAAAAGAGTAATTAAAATATTATGGTTGTGTTCCTATTGCTCTTTTTGCCTATTGATGAATTGTAGAATGATTCAATGGCAATTTGTGGTGTTGGTTGAATAAATTGATTGATTTAGACAAACTAGCTGCAATGCAGCTGGTACCTCTCTATAATTCGAAACCGAGAAGTTCGTGATGGCCTAGCATTGTTCCTTTGTTTCATCATATTTCCAAGTTTCTCAGTCACAACCCATTCGTTGACACGGTTTGCTTCCAAGAGTCCTATAATTGCTGCTTTAGTTCGATGGAGTGACATGACATTCTCAAAGAGTATCCAGAGTACAAGTAGGTGCATGGATCTGTCCCATTATAAAAGAATGTAGAATAATTAAGATAGCCGAGGGAAACTAAATAAATTTTGCACTGCTGTCAGAAACCCATTACCTCGGGGTGGAGACTGCATTTAGAATTGTAATAGTTGCTGGGATGTATATGGCAATCTGCTTTTTGAGATTGACTTCTGGAACTATCACGCAAGCTGGTATAACTATGCAGTAAAAGAAGAACGTGACCCAATGTGCAACTATTTTCCTCACAAAGAAGAAGGCATAGATAAGATGAAGTCGCTTGAGAAGGGGTACCCTCTGGATGTTACATATAGTTTTCAATCAGTATAAGAGTTTGTAAATCTTGATTCTACGAGGAATTGAATTTGTTTTTAGCTGTTGATTTACTTACTTCGCAAAAGAGGATTTCCTTGGTCATTTTCTTAAGGAGATTAGCTGGACCACATGACCACCTGTGCTGCTGATATCGGTATGCTTTAAATGTACTTGGCAGTTCATTTTTGACCTAGCAAGCAACAACACCCCCCCCCCCCCCCCCACCAGGGGGTATGGGGTAGTTTATGGGTTATTCTAGCTTAGAACACGATATTGTATTAAAGAATTTAGATAAGTATGGATAACTCACTGTCACATCACCCACAAAAACAAATTCCCAGCCCTGCAGGCTTGCCCTAACTGCAAGGTCCATATCCTCCACTGTAGTTCGGTCTTTCCATCCTCCAGCATCTTTTATTGCTTGAATCCGCCAAACCCCTGCTGTCCCTATATGTTATAAAGGAAGTTTGAATAAGCCGATCTGCGAAGGTGCTTCTCTGAATTTAGTGTGATGAGCATCTTAACTTACCATTGAAACCAAAGAATGAGTATGTTGAAGAGCCCACTTCCTGTTCAACACCAAAGTGATAATCAAGTGACATCTCTTGAAGCCGTGTCATCATACATTCCTCTGAATTCACTGTGCAGACCAAACATCAAAACAGTTTTAAAAAATGTTGATTTACTGGGCTCATGAATAAGGCATACTGTCACACTGATGTGGTTGCAATAATTTAACAAGTTAGTTTTACCAGTTACTTACCAAATTTCCATCTCGCCTGCACCAAACCCAACTTTGGGTTCTCAAGCAGATAAGGAATTGTCCTCCAAAGAAAATCTGCATCTGGCTGGAAATCTGCATCAAATATTGCTACAAACTCACAATCCTCAACATATTGCTTTTCCAATCCCTCTTTTAGAGCACCTGCCTTGTAACCATTCCGATTTTGCCTTGTTTCATACTTGACATTTACACCTTTCTGCATCCATTTGTGACACTCCGATTTGACCAATTCCTGCATGTTTGAAAATGCATGGTTACTGTAAATTTACAGCACAAACACATGGGATCTGCAATGAAGCTTTACTGGATCAATCAGATACCCTTAGGACTTGATTTGTTGAGTCATCAAGAACCTGAACTATGAATCTGTCAGCTGGCCATGAAAGCCCGCATACTGCTCCAATCGAAAGCTTGTAGACCTGGAAACAAAAATTGATTTTTTTTTCCTAGGTAATTCATCTTTGTTCTTTAATAATCACCAGCATTACTGTAGCCCTCTTATTGCACATTTCTAGTCTAGACAAGCATAGCCGACTTGTGTATTCCTTTACTTTGTCAGTTAGCTGTGATTTATTAATGTTATGCCAACATGATTATGTTTCTGACATTAGTGATTGCAAAAATGATGTATATGGTTGTATAGATATTAAAATATATTAAAATAAGGATATTTGAAAGATGCTAGAGTTTGTTGGTAAAACTAAATAGTGCAAAAAATAACCCAAAAAATGTATGAATAAAAGTGAGAAAGTAGGAGTAAGGGAATTAGTTATTAATGACATGTGATAAATGTGAGAAGACAGAATCTAGTTGATTTCTTTCGATTTAAAACCAGTCTTAATTGTTTCTACTAATTACAAATGATAAAAGGACAGCATTATAGGATAGGATATCATATATTAAATGGTAGTAAATATGCATGGATATCATATAACATACTAAAAACTTTATTCTTTGCAAGACTTAATTAAAAAACTAGGTTACCTCTTTCTCATTATACATAGGTATTTGGATCAACACCATGGGGTATCTTTTGTTTCTCTCTATGTTCTGTTTCATGGCGTCCAACTTGTACTTGGTGTATTTTTTCTTCCTCAACACTTTGACAATAAGAATTACAGCTGCCATGGATACTCTTTCAACAAATAGCATGATTGACATAACTGAGCACAGAATGACTGCTAGTTTTAGGAGTGGTATGACCACTGGGGCTCGTATTGATTGCCAAGCATAGCGCAGACTACTTGAAGCATATTCTGGAACGCCTTCAGTCTCCTCAAAGATTAGGTTTCTCATGGTTTCTGGGGTTGTAATTATGGAGGAATATAGAGCCTGAAGTAGTCACTTGGGGGCTGAGGCAAATGCTGGATGGGTTGGTGACTTGTTGCAGGCAGATCAAGTGGGTGTGATGTGTCTTGGAGATGAAACCTTTACTTTAAATAGGAAGAACGCAATGGAGGAAGATGAGGACATGCATTTGGGTTTAGGTGGATGAACGTAGTGTGATGAGTGCGCTATTAAGGGGAGAACTATTCTTTTTTGAGAGACACGTTTTTCATGCAAGCGATGCTGCTGCAACGTAGCTACCTGATAGCTGGATATGTCTTTTCTTGCCGACAATTTCTTCAAGAGTTTTACCGTCGATGGTTTGGTCATAGTAATAATTACTTCTTGTATTTGATCTAATTTATGAGATTGTGTTATATTGCTAGTAAATATTAGATAAAAGGCAATAGAGTCAAGCTGGCATTTTTGGTACTTTTGTAAGGCTTAGATACGATCTTTTTGTGATTGAAATTTTCTCTTATCTTCTGTTTATCTTTCAAATATGTTGCTTTTGTTCTTTTGTGAGCTGGAGCATATTCAATCATATCAAACTTTGTTGATTTGCTTTTGTGATTGATTTGTTTGGGAAAGGTTGGTGAAAGAATTTAAAGTACTTTTTATTTCACTACAAAATACTTTAAATCCATGTAGAAGAGGTAAGAAGAGAAAATGAGAGTGAAGTAGAAGAATGATGGAGACGATCCCTTGTTTGAAAAGTTTGATACAACTGTCTAAAAGTGGGATGGGTAAAATAAAGTAGAAGAGGGTGTACGTTTTTATTTTATATCAAAGTTTCGGAGTTGCTTGACGGCAACGTCTCTACTTAGGGTATTGTAAATTAGAAAGCATATAATCTCCTTTTGAAACATTTGGCAGACAAAGAAGAATAGTTCCCTTCCTTTCTGCAATAAATTTCTTATTGGATATGAGAAAGGAAAGACTTTTCTTTCTGCAATAAACTTCTTATTGGATATGAGATGATTGTCATCCTTTCCTTTTATTTCCTGTATTAAAACTTAATTTCTCTAAATCTTCATTTTCCTTTCAGGGATACATAAAACATATATGATGTCTTTTTGTTACTTAGCTCAGGGATACTTTTGTAAAGTGCTATTATTTCTTTTCATTTCCAATGTTCTGATAGTTAAGAAGGAAAAGCTAATCTGATTGTAGCCTGTTTTGAAGTTGAAACTATTCCATAGAAGTAATCAGAAGGGTCTACTCTCCATTTTAGATATTTTAAAGTTGAATTTGTTTTGCATTAATCCCAAATTATGGCTGGTTTGTGCTCTCTGGTTTAATAGAAATTATACGAAGCATATTATGCTATGAAATGACCACTTGGGAAAATTTACCATATAAAATTGATATATTTTCATGTCTGACTCAGATAGCGTGTTTGTTCTGGAACGCCTTGTAGTTATTTGGATTTATCAAAATGTCTACCTTTCTATTTTTGCGTGCACTCAAGCTCAACTTGAACAATATTTTCAAGTGCTTCAGCTATACTGTCGGCTTCCTTATCATTGAGTTGTCTGTTACAAGTTATCATGGGGAGAGGGGGAGTGTACATTTTCATGGTTGCTGCCTTTATTTTGCTAAACTCTTGGCTTCTGCCATTGGAAGTTGAAATAAAATACAAATTGCCCAGTTAATGTTTCGTGTCGGCTACAAAAGTAATGAGACGTCCAAAATGATTTGGTCTGCTAGATGGGTTACATAAGGTTGCTTCCAATTTTAGAGAACTGTTTATTAGTCTTGGATATGTCTTTGGTATGCGTGAAATGGTAGCGAACAAACAATAAATAGAGGAAGTATGTTATTTGTGTGTCAGTTTTGCTTAGGAACAATTAATATAGGATGTATGTTATTCATGTGTCATTATTGCTGAGGAACAATAAATATAGAAAGTATATTATTCGTGTGCCATTATTGAGTCAATTATGCTAGTCGGATGTCTAGCGCAGCCTTGGCCTAACATCTTGACATGAACTTCTTAGCATGTGAGTTGCTGATGTGGCGCAAAGGTGCCTTAGCATAATAGTAGTTGTTAGAGAGATATAATATAAAACCATTAATGTGGTCTTCACTTAACAACTTAAGTTTTTAGGTTGAAATGGTTGCTTTACATGGTATTAGAGTTTTTGTGACTAAAGGGTCACGAGTTTGATCCTCACCGCCTCTATTCTATTAATAAATAAATATTGTGGAGTTTCTTAGTATAGGTAGGAGGGGTCTGTGCACTATTCAGCCTTCAAGCCCAATGAGTTCTCGTGTGAGGGGGCGTATTAGAGAGATATAATATAAAATCATTAATGTGGCTTTCACTTAACAATTTAAGCTTTTGAGTTGAAATAGTTTTTTTATAGCGGTGTTGTCGCCATGTAACCTAGAGGACATAGGTTCGAATCATGTAATCAGGCTTTTGTAAATGCATGGTAAAGTTGCCTAGTATAGACCTATATAAGACCCTGCGCATAGCGGGAGCTTTTTAGCATTTAAACATGTAGTTGTTTTAAGGAATTGTTAGAATGATTGTGCTTAACACAACGCCAAGCTGGCCTGCGGTGGATTGTTCAATCGTTATAAATTGCCCATATATTTAGCAGATGTGGGATCTTTTAATACCCCCTCTCATGCCCAGGACAAGTTATCTGGAGCATGAAAATTACAAGAGGCTTGGACATTTGCGGGTGGCCCAGGACAATTTATCAGGATAAGCTTTGGTACCATGTTAGAATAATTGGGCTTAACTCAACTCCAAAGTTTAGCTTGCTGGGGGGGGATTACTCAATCATTGTAAAGGGTACATTGCCCATATATTTCACAGTTGTGGGATGTCTTAATACCCACTCTTATGCCTAGTATAAGCTATCTGGAACATGATCTCTTAATATGGATAATTAATCATAAATCTCTTTTCCTTTATTTGTATCAGTCTTGATTAGTTCGTTACATCTAGAACAAAACTATGAGCTCAGTCAATTTTGTTATGTCTGTATCTTGATTTAGTCATGCCCTTTCACTGTTTTACCTGTTTACTGTACCACAATGCGGCCACAGATCAGACTTTCTGTAAGTTGTCAAAGGGTTGCATGTATCCTCAATAAAGGTAAACTATACGTATATCGAAGTTTTACCCATGTGGGGCAAGTTGATTTCATGTTAAGTTGGTTGGTCCAGTTTAATTGCATTATGCCTTGCTGGGAGCATTAGCTTGCTGATTTTGCTGTATAGTGACTCTTGTTAGATGTTTAACCAATGAAAAGGGGAGAGTGTATTTGCATGGTTTCTGCCTTCATTCTGTTTCACTTATTTGGTTTTAGCCATTAGAGATCATAAAGGGAAAAAACAAATGAATTTCCCAGTTAATTTTACATTCCAGGGATAATATAAGTAATGAGATCTCTCAAGTATTTTAGTCGGTAGGATAGGGTATATGAGGTTGCATCCATAATTGCTATATGTAATAGTACGTCTGGAGCAATTAATATAGGAAGTCTATTGTTTCATGTGTTTGGGTCAATTATTATCTGGACTATGGGACGGCCTTGACATATATGCCCTTCACACAAACTTCATTAGCATGTGAATTGCTTTTGAAGTGATTAATTAATCAAAGAAACTTACTTTGCATTTTGTATATCTAAGTCTTGATAATTTTGGTACACCTCATACTAAACAGAAAGCTTCAGAAATTTATGTCTATATCTTGATTTGGTCCTGCCTGTCCACATACTTGGTTTACACTATCTGATTCTCTCATTCTCTCTGCACTTTTTTATGCTAGTGTTCCAGAGTTCAGCCTATATTCAGATTTAATTTCAGTTATCAAAGGCATGCGTTTATCCTCGATATAGCTATGCGTATATGCCTTTCCATGTTTTCCCAGTATGAACCAACATTTTCCAGATTTGTTTGGTTGGTCCACATTAGCTGCTTTATAAGGGAGCATTAGATTGCAGTGTTCAATATATAGTGATGCTTGTTAGATGGCAGACTAGTGAAACTTTTTGTTTTTTGGGTTAAGGAAATCATTATTGCCCTACTTTGGAAGGGACAATAGTTCTGATTTGGCTTGTCAATTAAATCTGACTCTCTAACTGTAGTAATATCCCTTTTTTTCCCTTGAAGTTAGCAATTTAGATTTGTATACTGGATGGCTGGACGCACTTGGTCATTTGCATCAAGCAGACAGGCCAGTATTTTCTGGGAAAGAAAAGTATGGTGGTCGTCTTTTTATGTCCTGCATATCATAGTTTTATTTACTCCCTTTTCTTTTCTTTTTTTCTCTCTTTTCATATGGATAAGCTTATTGGTTAGTTTATCTTCAATTGCAAAAGTCCTTTGTATTGAATGTTCGACAGATCATATTTTCTGTATTGCGGATTGGATGACAAATCATGCATAGAACCTTTTTATAGGTGTGCCTAACCATCCCAGGCCTTGTGGTGTCATCTTGGACGATGATGCCTGGTGTTTCTTTTCTTTCTTGTGTACCTTACTAGGACTTGCTCCCTTGCATTACCATGCTTTCACTTTTCAGACATGACTTGCATGTATGGTGAAGTATTGGTTTGTTATAAGTAACGGGTGGGTTATATTTTCTTAAAATGTATGTTTATTCTGCTGCTGACTGTAGTATCGTGAGCAAAATGAGCTTACCTTGTAGCTATATCAATCTGGAGGCATGATTCGATTGAGTTGTGGATTTTTGGGTCTTTATTGTCGTATTTGGACGCATGTAATTGCTGTAGTTGTAAGTATACCTTTTATTCTTTTAGAATGTGTCCGTTAAAACTTCATTTTGGACATCCCCTTGATACAACTCAATTGATAGAGCTGTAGGACATGCAATGAGAGGTGGGAAAACGAGAGTGGGGGTCCGATGCACTTTATCATCCTTTCCTATTCCTTCCCTGTGAAGCCTCTTGTGGACCACCTTTCCTTGGACCAAAAATAAGGGGAAA